GGCGTAGCACGTGTACACTAATGGCTAGCATATACATGCGAACTAGTAGTAGTTTGGCGGAAGGCAATGCGAGTAGTAGTCGTTGATCTTGACACAAACGTCGCAGTGTGAGCACGTGGTGCTGCCCGTGTAGGTTTTGCCGCCGCATTGCTGATACGTGTCGCGCGTGCTGTCGCTTGGACGACGCTTTGTGCACTGCGCGTAGCTCGACGAGTAGCCCGTGCACTCGTAGCCGCAGACACAGGGTACCGTTTTCGCAAACCCCGATCCGCCGCACTGCTTCCACGGTCCCGCCACGAGCCCCGGTGCGACGCCATTGCTCGGTGCAGGCGTCGGCGCGCCCGTTGGGACCACATTGTTGCTCGGTGCCGATGTCGGTGCCAAGGTCGGCGTCATGCTCGGACTCGAAGCTGGCGGAATCTCGATCGTGCTGCCGCTGAGCGGCACGCAGTTGATGTACACTTGCCACGACGGTGTGTGCAGCGCGAGCCATAGCAGCCGAAGCTGCTTGGCGCCCGCGCACCGAGTCGTGTCGATCGAGAGAAGTCCACTTAGATGGTTGGCGGCGCAGTTGTCGTTCTGAAAGACACGCGTACTGTCGCACCAGACTTCGCAAGGGCCTTCGTGCGACGCGACAAAGCCCTCTTGGCCGTTGGCCCACTTGAGGACGCTCGGAAGCGGCTGCGGCGCACCGTTGGCATTCGTGATCCCGCAAGTGCCACACGGCGCGAAGCTTGGGTCATCGACAAAGCTTGCCAGCGTCTGAAACTTGCTTGCTCGAAACTGCATTGTAAACTGCCGTGTGTTCCACGCCGGGTCTTGGTTGTAGCTGCTTCCGGGCAGCACGACGGGGCCATCGATCGTGCCGCAGTATTTGGTGCGGTCGCCGTTGAGCTCGTTGAACGTTGGCGTCGGGTTGATGAGAAAGCCGTGGCCATTGACGAAAGGAAGCAATGTGGTTACGAAGGCGAGGATGGTACGCATGACGGACGCACTGTTTGATGCGAACTGAAGTCAACTGAGCACCTTCCTACTAAGGCAACCGTCAACGCATCGAGAAGCCGACCGCGCGTTCCGCGGAAGGCGGCAAGTGTATGTCGGCGCCAGGCGGGAGATGCGAAGTAGCTCCCCCGCGATGCAACATGATGCGGAGATTTGCAAGATCGTCCATGTTGCGGCTTGGACCAAATGGGTCATATATGCTTCAATTAAGAAAATTATGAAAGCATCGAGGAGCTCCGTGATGGAGGAGTGCACCCAAGCCGATCGACACTTGAGTCCTCCAGAGTCGATGCGGCTCCGATGCGGCTCCGAAGGGCCGCATTTTTCTACCCCGCTGGACACCAGCTCAACCGCCTTCGAAATGCAGTGGCAAGCTCTTAACCGTCATGCTACGTTCTGCGCAAAGAAAGGTACATGGCGGGAAACGGCGGTGCAAATACTTGGTTTCGAGCAATAGCGGCTTCCCAGAAGACGATTGAGCCTCTGCAACGTACGCCACGTCGATCTCGGTCGCGATGCGCCAAAAATAAGAAAAAATAAGAAAAATACGTCAAATAAGCTACGAGCACAACTACATACAAATCTCGAGTCACAACTGGCCTCATCCAAGATCTATCGATCCAAATGGCGCCATCCAAATGTGGCCATTGCACGTGTCTCGCATTCCGTCCGTCGGGCTCGCCGAGGAGCTGGCGACAGGGTGCAAACCCGATCCAGCTGGCCATGCGGACGTGCGAAGCCCATTTTATTCAAATACACTTTTGACTCCAGTAGACAGCATCTTGATGTTGCACGGTTGTGCCAGTGGCGCTCGATCAGAGGCGCGCATCGAACGCTGTCGCTTGCCAAATCGAGCGTGCGCGAATCCAGTTGTCTTTTGTTACTACACCTGACGAAGCTAGCTGACGAGAACGACGACAGTGGACCACATTGCAGCCCCAGATTCACGCAGGACATATATGCAGGACCAGTACCGGCTTGTACCAGGTACCAGGCA